ACTGTTTATCAATTCGCAGATAACAATATAATAGGCTTTGACGGATCGATTAGATTGGGCTTTTTCCCTTGTGTTTCAATAAACGTTCCACTGAACCGCCTCCGAGAACAGTGTTTTTGGTGCATCGGCCAAACATTTAGTTCTCAGAGGAGCTGAAAAATCTGGTCGCGGTACTTGCACTGATGATTGCGGAGCTTTCTGATTCAAATAAGGACCACCACTGAGGGCAGGAAAACGCATAAATGGACAGTCGATCCTGTACGGGAAGCCTATCCTCCATAACTGTCCTCACGTTAAGCGGACTCTGCTAGAACGGTTCAAGTCTTATGCAGAACCACAGAAATATTCTGAAGACGATCAGCTCCATTCGAGCAGGAGAACTGCCAACGATTGACCTTCTCAGAGGTAGTATCGGGCAGTATTGATCTTGCCAGATCTAATATACAGACGGCTTGTGCGATAAAATCTAAATTCGATTATGATACACGAAAAACAAAGAGGGATAGGAGAAACATTCAACATCAGCTTGAAAGCATCGAAGCAGAGACAAATTTTCAGAAGCGGATGAAAGATGCTATGGAACTTAGCATTCATGCTTAACACCTCGTCTTACCGAAGCGTACAGCAAACAAAAAGCGAATCCGCGCTTCGCAGGGATTGCCGACCAACAGGGACTATCACAACGATAACCCCTACAGACAGATGACGACTACGGGACGACTGAACGAAAGCAGTCCACCGCCTCATGCCATCAGGACGCCGCATCCCCCTTCAATTCGCACCCCCCTGCGATGTGAACTTGCCCAAATTTTCGGATGCACGGCAGAGATTTTTCCCGACTTCTGGGCGGTATATGAAACAGCTTGTGAGCACAATAACAGCAAACTGGGACGTCATGAGCGATGCTCCTAAAAGACTGTTTGAAAGGGAAAGTCGGACCAGAGCTATCAAAGGAATTCAGCTCGTGCCCCAAAATTATGAGTGGGTGGTAGCAAGCCTCAAGAAAAAATACGAAAGCAAGGGCAACCAGCAGGTCACGAATGCGCTTCCAACAACTCATGGACTTACCCCAGTGTGATAGAAGGCGCAGAAAGCAACGAATTGGTTTTGATAAAATATGTGCGCTTTTGAATCAAATGACATCGGCTGGTCAGGATATTCGCCAAGCAAACGAATGCAATAGTGGATTGAACACAGACAAACACATTATACACAAGTTCCTACGAGGATTATAGTTTGAACGGGTGCCATCAAAATGAAGGAAAACGAAGATCTTCGCTGTTGATGAGATAATGAATATCATAAGAGATGGAAATATCCGCAAAAGCCTACATCCAAGCCCGTACTCGACGCCCAATATACGTAAAGGGTTCAAAAGAAATCAGATAGAGTTCCAAGCCACATTCCTCAGAAGATGTGGTAGTATGCAAGAAACCTCGGTCACACCGCTTGCAATGCGTACTACCACTGACTGTAGATGAACGGACGAAAAATCATCGTTGAAAAACTGCTTATGTTGGAAGTGCTATTCTGATCAGCATTCTAGTATACAATGCGCGAGAGAAAAATTGCGCCCTTTGGCGCAGACTTCATCACATCAAGCTGTGCTACGCAGTGAGAAAGGAGCATACCTCTAATCGCGCAATACGTCACAAAACCACATCGCGCATATAACGGGCGACACCAGAACGAGCAAGAAGCAGCAGCAACTTTGCGAGAGTTGGAAGCGCCAGTGAATATACAGGCTGGATCAGGGCAACCCAGGATTGCAAAGATAATGCGAATTCGGGACAAAAAGTAAGACGAAAATCTTCCATTAAGCGGTAGACTCAGAATCATAGTCACGTTGTGGATACCCCTACGGCTGTGGATAACCCCACAGTTGCGGATAACCCGTCATTGTGAATAATACCCGCTTCAGAAAATCATGCTCTATACGACACCAACCATATGTCCCGACAGAACGAACAAATTGTCTTAATGACGGCAGTGGGTGACATTTGGAATCACAATCTAGAGAAGTTTGAAAAAGCCATGTTCTTCTTCGACACTGGAGCGCCAAAAGACAATCATACAAGAAGATCTGGCATTCAAACTAGTTGTCTACCCATGCTTCGGACTTGAAAGATGCATCATGTCAGGAATTGGAGGCAAATTGAACACATTTGAATAGCAACGTCGTACACGCTCAGGATAGGTACCGCTTACGGGGGAGAGACTTAGAGATCTTGATTCAAAACAAAACCAGTGTTAACTAATGGATTTTCCGTCCCGTCAGGCTTATGCAGTATTGGATCAAGATTTTTTGCAAAGAACGTAACATTCTCGTTTGCAATCCACACTTAAGGCGGAGAACTCCAAAACCCCACAGATTTTGGTTGGCCTCGACTATTACTACAAACTTTGTCCTCGAGAACGGAGATAACAGTCTAACTCCATCCGGACTTCGCCATAGCCAACACGATATTTGGACCCACAATTCACGGACGTGGCGTACTGGAATCTCAAAATGACACATGCATGGCCATTGGTAACACATGGATTGACAGCAATCGATGAGACGGAACATGAACTGCTCGCCAAGCTGTTTGAGTTGGAAGGATTGGGCATATCTTCTGAGGAAGTCGCTGAGAGGTCACAGCTCACAGAGTACTACGACAGGTACTCTAAGCAAATTTCCTTTCAGGACGGTATCGTGACAGCCACCTTTCCGCTAACTCCCAGTGTTGCAGATCTCGCTCAGATAACTATTCTTCAGCAATTAAACGCCTGATAAGTTTATATCGTCAACTGGAAAATAATCCTATTTAGAAGCATTGGTACTGGAAGATACTAAACAGTACGAAGACGAAGATATAATTGAAAAGGCAAACCGGAGAAATGCCCAACTCAGCAGGAGTGTACTACATGCCCACTCGGGTGTGTGGCGCGAACATAAGCCCAGACCATTGAGAATTGTTTTCGACGCCTCCTTCAAACGAAAGGGTCAGCTCTCTCTTAACGATGTCACTCTCAAAGGAGAGTCCATGGTCAACAAAATCCACGACAATCTTTGATCGCAAGTAGAATGAGTAATATAATCGTACTCTTGCGACATTGAAGCGGCCTTCACTCAAATAAAGACTGCACCGAGTCTCATAGAGATCTCTGCAGGGTTCTTGTGGCTGAAAGATCCAGATAAGCCACCCACTAGAGACAACATTGCTGAATACAGATTCAAAAGAGTCCTTTTAGAGCTAAACCATCGCCCAGTATTTTAAACATGTCGTCTCCTTAACGTTTCTACGATCAAAGAATACACCACTTGCAGAAGAGATTCTCGCGAACCTTTACGTCGACAACATATTTATTCCGTGCAGAAAATCCCGATGAGGCTATTGCGAAGTACAAGGAAAGCAAGAATCTATTTGCCGGAGATAGGCATGAACTTAGAGAAATACGTGTCAAACTGTGAAGAAGTCAATGAACGAATACCAGAAGAAGACAGGATTCCTGGTGGATTAGTCAAATTATTGGGTGCCTGAAATACGACACAAAAAAAGATCAGTTCTATATCACTCTCTCCTTCCCTGACAAGCGTTGCCTGTCGAAAAAAGATATCGTCAGTCAACTCAACTCAGTATACGACCCCATAGGCATCGCTAGCCCTCTAACAATAAGACTGAAACATCGCATGAGGGAGATCTACGACTGCGGCACAGACTGGAAGCAGCCCATTTCTGAGCACCAAGCCAAACAATGGAATAAAATATGCTCAGAATTTAACAACATTTCCATCTCCCTGCCTCGCTACGTAGGTGCAATGCAATGCTTGGAGAAAAACAGCATGTCTCTCTGGGTGTTCGCAGACGCAAGCTCAATAGCTCTGGCCACCTGCGCCTTTATCCGCCACGACATTACTGGACAAGTCTCGACGCTAATAAGTGGTAAAACGCGTCTGGCACCGAAAAAAACAAAGCAGACTATACCACGTCTGGAGATACTAGCTATTCTCATGGCAATGAGACTCGCAAAGACAATCACAGCTGCTCTCCAAAAGAGATTCCATCAGATCGCTATAATCAGTGACAGTGAGATTGCGCTGTCATGGCTCAGGTCTACAAAAAAGTTGCCACTCTTTATTGCAAACCAAAAAGATCGTATCATGAAAGTAAAAGAGGCACTTCAAGTGAAGGACACACAGGTCAATTTCTTTCACGTACCTACGAAGGATAACCCAGCAGATGCTGGCACGCGCGGTATACAAGCAAATCACATCAATAACCTCCCATGGATATATGGACCCAAGTGGCTCGGTGAAGGAAAAATCCCAGGGCGACTTAAGCCGCTGACCGAAATCCATGGAATAGAGCTGGAGGAGGATCAAAAGACTGCAGACTGTTTACCACAGAGATGCATTGCGCAGCACCGAATAATGCAGAACAGACAACTTTAATGACTTTATCGCGCTATTCTCGTCTGAATATGGTCATAAGGGTAATTGCACGTGTATGCAAAACTCTCCATATGTGGGTACGCAAAGTGAATAACAAAAGAGCGAACACGTCAAAAATTTCCCTTCCAAAAATAGAAAAATTCAGCGTTCGATGGGACATAACGTCCGAAGATATTGTTTTGAGCGAAAATATTCTACTTTCCGACGCGCACAAGTACACCTCTATTGAACACCTCAGAAGGCGATTTCCGCAAAAGAAAATTTTTCGAGACAGCGAAGGAATCATCAGAAGTTCCTCGCGTCTACAGAACGCGCCGTTGGCATACGACACAAAGAATCCGATTTTCGTAGACAGTGATTCCGATCTTGCACGGCTCATTCTTTCGGACATTCACTCGAAAAATGCACACTGCGGAAAGGATCATACCTTGTGCATAGCCAGACAAAGATTCTGGATCCCTCGTCCATCCAGGTCTTTCAATAAGTTCTTGAAGACGTGTGTGATATGTAAGAAGTGTCAAGGCCTTCCTTTCGGAGCGCCAATCATGCCTCCCTTACCAAAAGATCGCGTGATTCTTACGAGACCGTTCCAGTCCACAGGATGTGACTTCATGGGACCGTTCCAGACTAGAGAAAACACAAAGTCATACGTATGCCTGTATACATGTCTCACCACACGGGCATTACATCTGGAAGTAGTCGAAGATATGTCAGCGCGAGCTTTCCTAAATTCTTTCATAAGATTCATCTCAAGAAGAGGAGTTCCCACTGTAATCCGAACAGATTGCGGTACAAATTTCAAGCTCGGCCAACGCATAATTGAGGCAATGTTCGAACACGACGATTCCAACGCCGGAGACTCCGTTATGTCCTATAGTGCAAACCGCCGAATACAATGGCTGTTTAACCCCCCAGGAGCCCCGTGGATGGGTGGAGCTTGGGAGCGCCTTGTAGGCTCGGTAAAGCGTGCATTCGCCAAGTCCGTTGGAAGAAAGAAGCTATCGTTTTCCGAACTATACACTATCGTTACCCAAATCGAAGCCATTCTGAACACAAGGCCTCTAACAGTACTAGACCCTTCTAGCATTGACGATCTCCCGATCCGACCAATTGATTTCCTCCAAAGTGGTCTCAAATACAGCTTGGCAACGGTCGACGACCAAGAATTCCAGGATCCATCTTTTGACCCAACTCTCATCCAAACAGCTGCGCAAGCGCAACAAGCCCTCAGGCACGTTGAAATAGTGACATCGAGGTTCTGGGAACGGTGGCATACCGAATACCTTACTGCCCTACGCGAGATACAGATAATCAATAGGAAACAACCACGACATGCGAAGTTACGAGAACCTCAGCTCAATGAAATCGTACTCGTGGAACAAGAAAACCTCCCGCGCGGTAGTTGGTGTTACGGAAAAATTGCAGAATTGGTAAAAAGCGCTGACGGCTTGGTGCGATCGGTGAAACTTTTGATGCCCAATAAACATATCTGGCATAGACCCCTTAACAAAATTTATCCTCTGGAAATTCCATGCGAAACGCAAGAACAATCCGACTCTACTGAAGCACAAAAACAGGGGTCACCGGCTGATGAGGAGCCAGTAGACATTGACGGTAAGAAGCAAAGACCTCAGCGTGCGGCAAAGTCAAGGGCAATGAAATTGATAAAGGAAATTGCGACGCATACAAATAAAGAAGGTGCGCATAATGGTCATGCATACGGCATGTCCACTAACCTGGTGCTCATTGCGATACTGATAGCACTGCTTAATGGAACCCAAGCCAAAACCATGATGCCACTCACTTGCACGCAGCATCACCTTTACGTTAAGCCTCCATCGAACAGATCTGAATTATGTATTCGATCATCAATGCAAAACCTTCGCAAATCAATCTGGTGAGATGGTCTTCCAGTTGCCGTTCACATCGAGAAACGACAGCATAAACGTATCCTTAAGATATACCCTTGGATCGCACCACGAAGTAAAATATAACCGCATAACGTGCGTATTGCCCGACATATGCGACTCTTCTAGAACGCTGCTATCAAAGACCTTGCTTGGAAATCCTCACTGTTGGCCGATAGGAGCCATCATATCAATTGCAACTCTCGGTTACGTGCTTATCTCTGTTGTTGCGGTCATAACCAGGATTGTTGTGATTAAGTTAGAGGCTCGCGAACAACGCGATAGGCAGAATAGCGCAGTGGTTCAGGCGCCAAACAACGAGGGTTCGGTTCCCGACGCAAGCAATGAGTCAAACATAGCCGATTCTAAGCGCGGAGATGATGTAAACATACAACTCACAACATTCAGTCCAAAGCCACTAGGGCGCGCAAGCACACTGGCTGCCGCGGTCATGTTGTTTTGCATTGCTTCAGTGCACGAACAGGCGAGAGCATGTCAGTATGGATACACCAGACAGAATGTGGCAATAGTGTGTAGTTCTAATAGTAAATGCCTATTCGAATTCAATCGAGAAATCCTGTTCAATGAAGTCAACAGTATGGTTTGCATTAATCTCATGCATTCAAACAGAACAGTAGGGACCATCTTGATAGAACAGCTCCCCATGGAACTGCAATGTTCAAAGCGAACCTTGTTTTTCACAAGAGATACGGACTATACAGTTTTTAGCGCCACTAGGTGTGCCCAAATGGGATCATGTGTCAATAACGCATGTTCTGAGGTACGATCGAATAGTGTAATTGCTGAACTTAGCAATGCTTCTCAATATCCAGGATACTCCGGTTGCGAACCTTCATGTGGAGGACTGCTATGTGGATGCTTGTTGCCCTTACCTTCATGCTCCTTTTATCGCGTGGCCAGCATCCCTAGAACCAAAACTGTGTATGAAATCGCGGAGTGCATGGAATGGAAGCCCACTATACGGCTTAACATCCAGATTTCCCTTCGCAACAAGAAAATCTCGCGAACTATTGCTCTGCGACCATACATGAAACGCGAAATTGATGGGACCTCAATAACTGTCATATCTGTTTCAAAACCTACGAGTCCTCTCTTGCAACGACGTTTCGCAATAGCAGCGACCGAAACGCTTATAATTCCTGAAAGCCATCACTTGCCGGTTGAGTGCTCGTCTGCCACACAAGCCTATGGAAACTTCAGCAGCTGCAAGAACAACATGATCTGTGACTGTGATGTGGAAGCATATCCAGCGAGGTGCAGATGTCCACACGACTCGATAAAGAACGTCCGAGCCCATATATCTAACGTGTTCCCAATTTCCACCCCATTCATAAAGTTGCTCAAGAAGGGCAATTCCGTGGCAGCGCTATCAACCAGAGAAGAAGTGGTCGTCGCCATAGAGTCCACCTATATGCGCGATAGCGCCGAATACATCATCCAGCAGAACTGTAGCGTAGGGTTGGCGCCACTAACTGGCTGTTATGATTGTCAAGAAGGAGCCACAGCGGTTGCTTTTTGCCGTACAGAGGTCCACACCTGGGTGATAGTTCAGTGCAAGCACCACGTGTTTTCAATCGAGTGTGATCCTACGAACAAAACTACTCATTTTGCCCTCGATTTCCAGCAGGCTCTTATAGACCAAAAATGTTACGTGGAATGCAACGAACATCTGATAGAAATCCCCTTGAAAGGGACACTCGCCTTCCTCCCATTCATCAGTGACGACCAAATTATCGACTCCCACGTGAACCCTTGGAAATCGTCATCTACATGGTTCCACGATTGGAGAACCCCGGATTTTATGCCTCTCATAGAGACGATAAGAGATCACTGGAAAGTTTCGCTTGCTATATTCGGAACAGCTGCTCTACTAGTTGCGGGAACCTACTTCCTTGGTCCAGCACTGCTCCTCACAATCATAGGATCAGCACCGAAAATTCTGGAAACTCTCCTCGGGTTTGCGGTCGCCGTTGTTCGCATGGTCTGTGCACTCCTCAAGTGCGTGATAAACTGTATCAGACAATGTTCATCCATACTCACGCCATCGAGAAGTCAGTAGCTTTGAAGCAATGTGCTCCTGTCCGGCGCTAACAATCCGTCACATACTTTATAACTATACTGCAAACAGAAGGAGCTTCTGCAAAACTTCAACTTTAACATCGCAAGCGAAACATCAACATTCGTATCAGCATCGTCATCGCGAACAACCCCATCCATTCAGTTTCTGTGTCGCCTTCTACTCACTCGACATTTCCCTTACGCCCATGGTAATGGATGAAGTCGACATTGCTATTCATATTGACCCCCTGGTTGAGGCAGTGAAGGATCTCAAGGATCAGCTGAATATGGTCATCATGTCGCTCAACGCTAAGTTGGATGCAGTCATGGAAGCACTGAACCGTCAGACGGAGACGATGAGCAATAAGCTGGACCTTTTGCTTGAAAGGACAAAGCCGAAGTCCAGTTGCGTTTTCTGTACATTCGAAGACAATAAGGACAATCATCCCACTGGAAGGTGTTACCGTTTTGCAGACCCTGTGTCAAGAGCTGTACAAGCGTCGCACTTGCATCTCTGTAATAGATGTCTCCAGCCTCGCCACTGTGAAGATTGTGGAATCACGTGCTCTTTCTGCAGCGGAAATCATAATGTCCTTCTCTGCCCAGCCAAGGCCTCCGCCTCATCGACTCCCTACAAGCGGCGCAAAGTCTAATTGTCTACCGTCGCTACGGAATTGTGCTCTGGTTGCGCTCGCAGCTAGTGCACGTTCCCCCCCCCCCTCGTCACCTCGTCCCCTCCCCGTATTCACCACGATCGTTGCTGTTTCGCTATTCATTTCTACTTGCCGCTTATTCCGTTATCTGCCACTCGACAGACGTCCTTCTCATCGCTACGACTGTATTCACTAATTCGTAGTCGACTCGGTACTCCCTATTGATTCGAGCAATCTGTTGTGCGATTCAATATACTGCTCACTGGTCGACGTGGAATACTGTTGTCGGACGATCAATCAGGCTCGATGCCAGCGTCATCAACTCATCGCGGAACAAGCCGGTCGGAGATTTCATTCGTAGATAGATGTTGACTGTTTACTTGGTATTGCTTGCTTTGATTTCCTCTCGTAGTCACTTCGGCGGCGGGAGTGTCGCGGTCTGCCGCGACTTTCATTGCTTTAGCATTGTTTAGATTTATTATCATGTATTTCCCAGCGCTCTTGTGTAATGTTTATCAATTCGTCAATAAGCAATATATAAGGCTTTGAGTGGTCGATTAGATGGGCTTTTTCCCTTGTGTTTATAAACGTTCCACTGAACCGCCTCGAGAACACATTGATAGCACATATCCGGCTATATACATCAGCAGGCACACAGAAACAGAAGGTGGATCTGAAAAATGCAAAAATTTGGCGTCCGTGCGAGTCCGATTCACCATCCTGCCGTGCCACTGCGTTATCCAATACACCATCCGTCGACCTTGACAGTAGGCTGCGGAAACGACTGAAGAAACTTCATTGTAATCTAACGACATGCAAAGTCTCTCTGAAGTATTTTGCACTGTTTTCAATGCGTAGTTACAAACCGCTCATGAGCTATACATGCTCAAAGTTACAATTCGATTAGAGCCGAATAAAATGGTTAGAATCGCCCTTCCTTGTCCAATCTTCATTTGTGGTTTTCCCAGAATCATGGCAGAAATGTCACCCATTTTCATGAGCCTTGTATGGACCCTTACAACATGCGACAAACTATTTCTAAAAAGCGCGCGTGACCTGAATGACCTCACTTGTGGGAGACACCCTTTATGGGAAAGCCTGTTGCTCCCAAGTAGACGCTTGATGTTTTCATCAGAAATGTTGATCAAGATAACATCATCGCTCAATTGCGCTTTACCAAAGTATTGTTATATTGCAGCAGATACTCTGTCGGAGGTAGATGACACACGCAGAGAAACTTTTTCAAGTGCTCTGCTGCCAATGCGATAGCTCCTATTGTAATTTTTGCCGTGTAGCCGTTCGCAACGACTATTCTAAAAGCTAGTTGTAATTATTCTTCCCATCAGCTGCTTTGCTGCACATATCTTTGCTGTTTTATACACGTTTCCAATACCAGCATACGTTTCACCGCCGAACACTTTGGTGTAGCACTTATCTATCCTACAATATACAATTCGCTAAGTTTTCTGTTGGTGTGTGGGTGTGTGTGTGCTTGTGTGTTGTGTGTGTTCGACCAGAAATTCATGACTTTCTTCTAATCTGTCGTAGAGAGTTCACACTGATAGGTGATGTAGTAGGTCAGGCAGAAGCACAGCAGTGGTAGGCAGCAGAAGGTGCCAACGACTGATAAGGGCTCACAAAGAGCCTTAAAAGGAGGAGGTCACCAAACCCATAGCTCGTGTCACAGCAACGGTGGAACGTCGGTTTCAAGATGTGATATGGGGGGCTGAACGTGAACTATTGATGGGTGGCAGGAGGTGCAAACAGCTGACAGGGAGCCGTAGAATTGAAGGTTCATCAAAATCATAACTAGCGTCACAGCAACGGTGGAACGTCGGTTTATAGATGTGGGATGGGGGTGGGGCTGAACGTGAACATTATTGGTGGGTGGCAAGATGTGATAACAGCCAACACCGGCAGACAAGGGCCTTAAAAGGGGGGGTCACCAAATTCACAATTCGCTGAGCAAGGGTTGGAGGTGGATTAAGGCCAGTCTGCACCATAGAACAGCTATCTGGTAAAGGGCGCAATGCCGTTCAACACGTTTGGGAAAGCATAGTATGGAACAGGATAACGATGGCGACTGTTTCGACATTAAATGCACCAATTTGACTCCCAAGACGAAGCTTTCAATTAGGACAGCACTGGAAGCTTTTTAGATTCCCAAGATTTTCTAGGTCCAAGAATGAATGTCGCTTCACGGCTTCTTAGTCACGTAACATCCTAGTTGTTTGAGATTGACTTCAGAACTTCCTAACTTTAAAAATAGTGGAATAGTCTCGGATCGTTGCCAGCTCGAGCCGCTTCATTTCATTTCACTTTGATTAGTTTGATATCTTCTTGATATACTGAGTGAGCGTATTTTCCTAGTTGATATATCGTTGTCATCTGTTCCCAGAAAGTTTTTTCGTGATGTTCTTAGTTTGTTGTTCTCTCACGTTTGCCTTATGCAGCGTAATAAACATAAAGAGAAACATAAACATAATAGTTGGAACAACTGTGTACCTATAGCCGAAGATCTACCATCATAGATCATTGCGGATTGCATGCATAATGAGCAAACGGCTTCTCTTCCATTCAGAACGGCAACGTGACTCTCTTCGCTTGCTAACCTATCTACTCACTGGGTCTTTACGCCTTGAGCCGCGTTCGGGGTTCTGTAAACGACGAAAGTGTAGAGACGTTGGCTGTGTGAAGTTTCTGCCCAGGAACCTTCTAGCCGAAACAGAAGAACAAACATCGGCTCCCCAAAAACGCCTGCCGCACCATGTCTCTACTGACATCGGCGTGAGCGCGGAGCTAGGCGGTAAGCCGGTTTAAGGTCAAACGAATGTTAAAGTCGTGCTCAGAAGGTCGAAGTACAACCGAGAAAGATTTCCATAGAAGCCGGAGTCCTGATCAGAATTTGGAAGACTGTGGCGAAAAAAAGATCCCTCTGCAACTTTCGCTAAACTTTCAACCAGACAGATTTCGCTAAAATTCTGCCTTCAGGATTTTCGACCTCCTGAGCACGAATGTTGCATCTGCCCGTCCCGAAACCTACGCGCTGGCGTCAAAGTGCACTAAATTACCGGATCCGCTAAAACTTTGTCCTCCAGTGTAGTTTGGCCTCCTGAACGTACATATCGGCTGAACTGAAAATATCTACTTCCAGAGCATATTGAACAATGGAGATGTTCCATGGGGAAGCAATTGAGTTATGGAACTGGAGCATGAAAGAGTTTTTTTTCAATTTTGTCAACCTTTCAGGGAACAGGGCGGCTGAATTAAAAACATTTACTCCCAAAGCGTATTGAAGAATGGAGATGATTGATCCACAAGCAGTACTCATCAGCCACCACTATAGCTGAAGGCTTTCCCATGAAACTGGTTACTACTCCCTCCTTGACTACTCATCTCGCCGATACTTCCAGATGAGATCGAAATCGCTACTTAACACTTCGCCCTTCGGCAACCAATACACTTCCAAAGCGATTTAAGGGAATCTTTTTTGGCAGCGCGAAGAAATGTCACTGCGAACGCACTCTGAAGTAGCTACCTGAACATGATCGTCAACCTTCTGATCAGACATTTTAGAAAAGAGCTCTGTCACACAATATGATCGGATTGTTGACGCTCCCTAAAAGCACTATAATGAAATTAATCTCAAGCCTTCGTAAGCCGTTAGTGAGGTTACATTAACGCTCTCGCTGAGGTGACTGTAAATCGGAGACCGAGAAATACATTCCAGACGTTTCAGCTGCCGAGATGTGGAGATATAGTAGCGCTGAAAGTACATGTAAAATTAGTGTGGATTAGAAAAAACATCATTCAAACATCTGGCTGCAGAATTACCATAATCATAAGATATAGAATGATCAAAGGAGCAATGATTATGCTGAACATTGGTATAGAAATCACGATAACGGCCAATGTTGAAAGCACTTGCAGAAAACACTGCATGAAGAGTTGAACGTTCGGTGGAAGAAGTAAATCAATTGTTTCAATATCCTGGAACAAAGGCTTATGGAAAGTGTTAAAACACAAAAACTGAAGGGGACAAAAAAACTACTTTGCCAATACGATTCAAGATCCTTCCAAATGGCGTAGTGTCGAAAAAAGACATTGGAGCCCGGAAAACAGAATGAAGTAGGGGAGCATGAAGACTCCTCGAAGCAGAAACTCCACCACACAATAACGAGACTGTACTCACAAAAAGTAGAATGACTGTAAAGACGAAAGAAAATGCATCAGCGCATTTGATAAACAGAAAATTGTGCCCGATTTGACGGTACCTTCCGTGATCCCGAGCATTGCATAAATTCCGAGTTTTCTTCTCATGGAGTTTGAACTTTCAGATGCATTAGCGGAGCAGATATTACAGTCGGACCTTAAAACTACAAGCAAGCTACAGAAAATACTACTGCGTCAATGACATCGTGATATGTGAACTTTACTCAAAATTGTCAGACTCCAACAGTACAAAAATTTTGGCATCACTATTTCAGCAAGCTCAAAACAAAAAGGTGTGTCGCGTGAAGTTTGGCGAGATCTTTCTCAAGAACAGCATCAAACTCTGTGTTTCAACCTTAATATCCTACCAGCAAAGGTTTTTCCAATAAGGACTTTTAGCAATTCAGAGCTTTTTGCCGATACTCCCGCTCACGGATGGCTATACATTTGTAAGCAGAATATTAATACATATTGGACTTGCGACGATTTTGTTGCGCTGAGCCAGCTTATACTGATCAGCAGCCCACATGCCAGCTGACCAAAAGCTTTCTTCGAAGTGATGAGGTCTCACAACAAGGGTATGAGGTCACCTGTAATAGAAGGCTGATGCTCTCGAGAAGAGTTCCGAAAGCAACAGCTACCCCTCAGGGTGAATTTGCTGAGTTTTGCAAAGATCACACAATGGAAATGACACCGGGACGGATCACATCACCAGTGGAAATTGGAATTAATGGAAATTTTTCATAATCAATGTTGCTGGTCCCTGCATGCAGTAGGGCTGAATATTATTGTGACGGACGCCTTTCAACGGTAATTTGATTCTGGATTTTTTTTTGGTGAAATTGAGGGACATATAACATTGAAATTTGGCCCACATAGTTACGGACAGAAAACTCGCGAAACTGAAGAGAAAACTGGATCGGAAAGCGCTGGATTGTCAGGTCAGGTCAGCGCAGTATTCTCCGAACGGGCTTCATACAAAGGAAGTGCGCTGCTTAAATTAATTCTGCACTGAAGCGAAGATTCCATGCGGAGAATGGTGATCTCGAAACAGAATGTGCAAGCTTGGTGCAAGAGTCCAAAAAAGAAAGAACAGAAAAAAGTTGCGGCAAAGGAGGGCCTCATAATGTTCATGCTGCACTAGAAAAGCTGGTGGATGAAGTCAAGCTTCGAAAGTCTGGTTACAGGGACTGCACCGTTGACGAACTTTTTTACGAGAATGACATTCCTGCTGCGGCCGCTAGCCGGGTTACGCCCGAAAAATTGAGGATGGTCGAGAGCGTGTGCGGAGTGCCTCATTTTCTTACAGAGACGCAGACGCGAGCCGATGGTTTGCTTACATCAGCAGTATTCTCTGCCTGAGATGGCACTCACAACTGCAAAATTGCAGTTTGGCAAAGTACGAGCAACGGGCGGTCTTGTAATTCGCGTCGAAACTCACAAGCGCTGCCGTTGAGTAAAAACAGGCAAGAAACCTGCCCGTTTTTCTCGTCCCTAGTGACAACGGCCCTCTGACCTACAGGTTGAGACTCTAAGCTGCTCATTCGAGGCAAACTTCAAAGTGGGCGGGGCTTCTACGTAGTAAGCGGATCTTCTCATTGCGGGCGGCCTTCCTGTAGCGTCCAAAGATGGGAAGTTATGAAGAAATATCAAAGTTCTGCGAAAAGGTGCAAGAGTGGCCGTGGTCAAAGGGGAGGAGCCTAATGTGCCAGTGCACAAATGCGCGTCTATGAGTAATTCGTTTTGTGAAGAGTTGGTGTGAAATGGACGAGGTTGAATTCCAAACCAAGTCTTCGAGAACTGGGCGGAGCCGCCCATGTGCCAATGAACGGCTCTTTTCTGTGTGTGTGTGTGTGTGTGTGTGTGTGTGTGTGTGTGTGTTGTGTGTGTTGTTGTGTGTGTGTGTGTGTGGTTGTGTGTGTGTGTGTGTGTGTGCTTTTGTGTGTGGGTGGGTAGGTGGGTATTTGTCAAATAATAGAAGTACCAGTCGCAGAAGTGGAAGTTATAGAATAAAATTCTAAAGAACATGTTCTCGTTGAGTGTGGACCTGGCTGCCGGGGCGGGGCCTGCAGTAGTGCCTAGTGTGGCATGTTCAGCCAAGTCTTGGATCTGATTTGAAAAACCTTCAACTTAGTTTGGGAAATCGTGAATTTGGCTCGAGGAGTATCCATGCCATCGCTGCAGTACCCTTCATCGTTCCATCAGGAGACGGCCATTCTCATCATTATGCCAGAAATGTATTATGTATTCGGCTTGGCGATGGCGAGATTTGGTCCCTACACGTATCGCTCACCGTCTTGCGTCTCCAGCTTGTTGCTGATATCATCAAAGTGAGCGGCCTTCACAGCAGCCACCGCCTTCTTTGCCGCATTCCTCGCTTCCCGGTACTGCCGCCAGTTGTCAATGGACTTGGGCTCAAGAAACGCGTGATAGAGCCTCTTCTTTTCTCGAACATTCGCTTTGACGTTGTCCTTCCAGAGCCATGCCCCTTTGTCAACACTCTGCGGTCCAGGCTTCGTTGTGCCGAGTTCGGAGCGGACGACGTAGATTATAGAATTAGCGCCTCGTTGCAAGTGTCCTCAACAGTCGTGACTTCAGGCAGTGAAATACGAGAAATCGCAGCTACCTCCCGCTCCTTCAGTCGCCACCACTTAATTTTTTCAGGACCCCATTGTTCTGCCTGCTTCGGTGTGGGAGCCACAAGTCTGAGCGTGCAGATCAGTGGGCGGTGCTGCGTGGCAATCGTTTCATACGGTACTACCTTAGCGTCAGTCACGAAACCTCGGTCGCCGTGAGTACAAAGTCTATTTGTCTTGGTACTCCCGCTGTGGAACGTGATGAGATGAGAGTCACGTTTACGAATTTTTGTGTTCAAAATGACCAGGTTATGCTAGTGTGCATACTCAAGGACTCGTTCACCGTCGGTGTTCCGTGCACCGTAACAGAATCTACTATTACAAGAATAGGAGTCTTTTGCAGCGCCCGCATGTCCGTTTGAGCCGCCGGCGACAACAGCACCGTCTTTTGGTTTCACTTCAGCTGTGTTCTCGTCTAGCAGAGCCCAGAACTCATCCTTGGGCTGCTCAGAGCATCCAGTTTGGGGGCATAGGCAGAGAAGAAGTGGCAAAGTCGTTGTTCAATAGCGACAACAATCTTCATTAAACGGTCGTCGAAACGAACTACGCTCACAATCGTATCGCGAGATCGCTGAGACACGATCACGGCCACACTACTTTTAGTTTTCGGCCCGCCACGAAGAAGGGCTTTCAAGCCGTTTGTCCGTGTTCTGCTCAGCCCGCGAAAGCGAGCAGGTCCCGGTGGCACCACTTAGAGAAACGGACGTCACCACCTTTTGTCAATTCATGCTTCATCAAGATGAAATGTTTTATCCACACAATAGATAGTGTTTTCAACACCAGCTTTATGCGCTCAATATAGGCTCTTGACTTGAATCAGTTCAAAGACAATTCCAGCAATCAAGTTTAACAGGTAGCAGGGGCTCACTCATAATTGAGTAGCCCATAAAAAAGTCATCGGTTGAGAAAGAAGCAAAAGTTTGGGGACATCCTGAGCACAATCCCCGCTAGCAGTGGGGCCGGCGCCTTGAACGAGTCTTCATAAGGACTAGCCCAGTCAGTAGGATTCTGAGTGCAACCGATTCCCTGTGAGAGCATAGAGAATCGCCTTACGACGCTCCAGGTAACTCTACGTACACACGCAGTTCCGCTTGTAAATCTTCGTCTTGCAGAGTTGAAGTTTGCGGTTGCACCGACTGCAAAAGTCTCTAGTTTTGTTGTCTCGCCATCTTGAGACGAAAGTGGTATGTTCTCTGCGAGTACGGACAACGATATCTAAAAGACGGAGGCATTTTGCTGATCACTGATCGGGAGTGTTTATAAAGCCGGTGATCTATATGACCAAGAAACACTGCTTTTCAAGACGGGAAAGAAAACAGCATTACGTTAATGGAGCAACTAATGAGAAGGAGTATCAAGGTTGTCAAATTTCTAACTTCTCGTCTGACCAGTTTTCCCGTTGTCGGCGGATCTCCTCCATCATTCCGTCAACAGCATGCGCTAGAGATAAGTAAGGTGATCGCACAATGGCTAAGTTCCTTACCTTCATGGCTATGTCGGCGAGTGTCATATGCATTAAGGACGACGAAGGTTGTTACAGATATCTGAAGCACTTTGCCCAGGGGCACCAGTCCGACTCAGGCAACCTTGGCGAGAATATTAATATCAGCGTTCACGAAGGTCCAACTAGTTTGCAGTAGTGGGCCGAGCGGGCCACGGAAAAAGCATCTTGCTTGCCAAGCGATTATTAGTAGGTGTTCAATCAGCAGCTGATTTTTAAAAAAGCTTCTCAGCATGGTGTAATTGATATTGTGCAGTAAGAAAGTGCTGAGAAGAACCGAGTGTATTCAGTACCGCTGGCAAAGCGTGAATCACTAGAGCAAAATATGATACTCATGTTCTACATTCGCCACTTATGGAGTCGGGAACTCTACGGCTCGCAGCAGGTGCTGGCGCTCCTTCTTCTGTTGCTTCTGCGCATCAAACCCATTGATTGATAAAATACATGGGTAAATGACAACATCTCTATCATTAGTGCTCATGCGTCGACGATCCTCATCAATAGCATTCCACGCGTTTGCTTTCAACAGTTAAGTACCATTACGGTGGTCGTGACAAGGATTTATTTACATGGAAGTGCACGGATGAGGGATGTCACGCGATCTGCCGTGTATCCAAACAAAAAGAAAAAAGGAATGCGCGGCGAAGGCGCCTTAAGCCAGCGACAGTTCAGCCATAGATGGAGAACGCTAGGCATCAGCCCGTGGCGACTCCGACTTGTTAATGTCATATGTTTTTTGGCGGTCACTTCGTGATTGATAGGAAAAGATTACTGACCAGGAAAGTCCGGCAACTCTCGTGGAAACTGTGAATGGAGACCTGGCGTAGATCAGTAAAGAATATGTAACTGCCTATCTCATCCTATTGCGGATATTTCAAAACCGCCCACGCACAATCCGCAAGCGAATTAGGAAGATGAACATTTGTAATGCTGAGTACCGCCGA